TGAACATAAAGTGGGCTCATTTAGTTTTAGTGTTAATAAGAATAAAAATCGATCCTATTAAAAATGATTTTCCAATTTTAACAGTCTAGAGGGCAGTTAATAATTTAGGGGGAAAAAGCTTTGTTAATGGACACTGGGTCTAGGGAAACTGCAATACAAGGCCAAACCAATCCAAGGTCCACATCTCTTTAGTCCTACCCCTTCTTCCCTTCCCTTCCCTTCCCTTCCCTTCCCTTCCCTTCCCTTCCCTTCCCTTCCCACCGTGATTCCCACATTTTTCCTTCCTTCCCTTCCCACTCCTGTTCCCAGTGCACTCCAGCACTCACACCTAGCAAACCTGTTCTGCTCCACCTCCTGGCCTTTGCTATCAACTGCAAAGGTATGGGTCCCCACAGCGATTGAAGGTGTGGACTGAATGTGACAGAAACCAGTGCGGCAAGGTGTTTCTAACTGGTAACACTGGGTACTGGGCACGGCACACTGCTGTGCAGGGATGTGCTGGGCAAGGGGCATACTTGCTGTGGAACGTTCCTTAGCGTGAGGAAGTGTGGTGGCCTTTATGTCCAGGGGTGGGGAGATGATTATATATATGCATTAGTATGAAAATCACCTAAAGTATCTGGAAATCTGATTTCTTGCTCATAAAAGAAAAAGTTTCTTGCCATCTGGATAGTGCTTTATGGTGAAACTCATGAGGGGCCTTTCTCTACACCGTCCTTGCTGTCAGCCAAAGGCAATGGGCGCTCCATGCACTACAATTAGGTTATCAGTTAAAAGGGGGCTGCAAAGCACTTCAATTTTGCCACTAGATCCTGCCATCGTCCCGACTTACAGGGGATTTCAGACGTTAACAAGAAAAGCCGATTACATACCAGGCAGGCCGACAGCAGCCGCTCTCCTCACAGCTCTCAGCTGCTGCTTCACCTCGGTTACTGCTGTTCGTGCGCTTCCTTGGGGGATTGATCTCAGTAAATGGACACAAGCCTGTTAACTGTAATTTTTGTTGATCCTTCAGCTGCCTAATAATGAATTTTGCTTTATTTTTCTCTCTTTTTAAAACATGCTCAGAGCTTCACTCGAAGGTCTGAGGCACAGAGCAGCCCATTACGTATCCAGCAGGACCAGCTCTGATCCGCTCTTCCAGCCACCTGTTGCTCACCTTGCCATGCAGCGATCCTAACGCACATTCTGCAAACGAAACAGAAACTGGGCTCCTCTCAAATCAGCGGCTGGCTTCCACAAGCCAAGATGTTACTTAATATCTGGAGCAACGCTCTAGTATGTTTGTGTTGTGCAGACAAGGGACTTCCCTCAAGTAAGATAAAGCCTATGCAATAACCCCTCAGTACTCTAATCTCTATATATAGAACTATGGCTATTATGGTATAACAACTTACATGTATTAAATAAAATAATAAATAAATGATGGTAACATAAATAACTATTATGGTTATAATAGTACAGTTTTACTATAGTGTAGTATATAGCAAATCTATAAACTATAATAGTTATTTCTAAATTCTAAATATTTCTAAATCTATAAACTATAATAGTTATAACTGTAAAGTTGTTATACTATAACAGTGAAAGTTCTATATGTAGAGATTAGATTAGAATAGAGTCGAGTACTGATGGGTTCTTATAGTTTATAGTAACTTTCCGGTGATAATTGGAGGTTGGTGTCTGGGAGCACACTTGCGTATGCCAGCAGATGTGGTGCGTTAGTGCATTAGTGCATCTTTATGGTGGGCTCAGATGAGCCGGTGCACTGCCGGCGGCTGCAGACAGACGGTCTGCACTCTGCCTACAGCAGTGCTGAGGAAATCTGCAGATTGCCTGTAAGGACCCGCACGGATGAGAAGTGGATGGATCTGGGAACACGCTTAACCTCCAGCCTCTCCTAAAAATCCTCTCTTTCTGATGTAGACTTTCTCTCAAAGTCTAAGTGCCTTGTTAGACAGTGCTCTCTCAATGTCTAATTAATTTATTCTATTTAAGTCAGTCAACAAATATTTAGAAGATTCTATATTCAGTTAGGCAAATGCATGCACTCACCAAAAAACTTTGTTTTGCTGAGAATCCAAGTCCCAGGATCCTCCACAACAGGTCTTCTAGCTGACAAGGACGAAGACAGAAGCACATCTGTTCGTCACAGGAAGGGCAGGGCTAAAGCCTGCTTATCTAATGAGTCTGAAAGTTCGAGATAAGTTTTGCCCAAAAAAATTGTCCTTGCTTAAAAGTTACGTAATGAATATGATCCTAGTAACATTATGCAATGGACGTAAATAAAATCTAGTATGTGTAACAGCTGATCTGGCAAAATAGGAAAAAAATCATACATTTCAATGGTGTTCCTACTGATGCAGTAAAAGGTTGAAGCTGAGAAAGTTGAGTCTCAAAGAAAATAACTTTAAAACCCAGGCTCATACAGCACCCGCAGGAGGCTCGATAATAATACATCGCAAAGGGATTTGAGAAATTTGGGTTATATAAGTTGAAGTACGGCAAACTACAAGCAGGGTCAGCATGTTGTTGAAGTCCTATGTCCGGAACGCTTCCGATGTAGTGGAGGACATATCATTTGTCACACATGCATAAACAAGCTCAGGTTGCTGTTTAACTTATCTCTAGAAGGACTATTAGAATATTTAATTCAAAAAGTTCTCCTGGCTCTGAAGAAAAAAGCTGTTTTGTTGGATGATGTGGAGATTTTTCTTTGGGAGGCATCCCACAACGGACTGTCCTGAAAGATAACAAAATGCTCAACATAGGCAGAAAAAAATTTCTCCAGCCTGCTGAAGATATCAAGCTTGGTAAATACTCCAGCTCTTACTGTTTGTGTACCAGCTTTAGAACATCTGGAAAAACTTTCACTAGATTTTCCTTCACCTAAGGAGGTGACCTTCACTTCACTTCTCTCACATTTGAAGTTGGGTTTTCAAACATCTCTTCTTTAGATCACGAGAGTAATTAAAAGTACCTGCACGACATTTGTACTGCAGCTATCATGATGCTGCAGCCAGTGGTAAAATAAAAAAATCTAAATTTGGCAATATAGGAAACTACCAAAAATTGTGCCTGTAGTAATGTCATTAAGTAGGATTTAGTTGGTGGGCTTTCAAGGGAACCTGACAAAAAGAACTGGCTTCTTGTTGCTGAAGCGAAACTTTAGGTTGCATTGGAAGAACCTGCTGCTTTGCAGCACTTTGAAACACTTTTAGTTATGTGGTCTATTTCCAGTCTAATTACATTGGCTTTTTAATCATTGATAGACTAAGGAAGCAACTCCACGGAGTTGAGGCTGGAAGAGGCCTCTGGAGAGCACGTAGTCCAAATCCCTGCCCAAGCAGAGTCGGGTAGAACAGGTTTCCCAGGACTGCGTTAAATCAGGTTTGAATCGCTCCAAGGCAGGAGGCTCCACAACCTCTTCACTCCATTTAATGTCTACTAGGGATTTTTATTTTACTCATGTTGCACCGTATAAAAATCTCAGCTGACCCTCCAGTTACAGTGAGTGTTTAGTTAACTAAAATGCTGCTCTATACAGGAATGGTTATAATTTGGCTTTTCGTGAAAAGAGAAGTCAACTTCAAAGACAGTATGTACGATCTAAAATGAGTATCTTGTTCTACAGAAATGCAGAATAGGTTTTGGATCAATCAGAAACTACTCAATTATTCTGTATCATTACTATTATCGTGCCTTTTTCACAGAATTTTTGTAGTATTTTGTGGAGAAGTGGCCATGAGTTTGCATGACTTTGCTTTTAAGCTAGGAATAAGACTTGTAAATCTAATATATCTCAAATGTTTGAGAATGCAGTAGATGTTGCTGTAAACAATTGGTTAACAATTACGTCACAAGTCTGAAAAGGCAAAGTTAGCTCAGAAGGATAAACCAACATGAGTAGGGACTTCCTACAGCGTAAGGGGTATGACCAAACCCCACTGAGCCTGGCGTTAGACACGACACAAAGCCAAGGCACTTGGGAGTCAGAAGCCAAAGAGCACTTTTTGTCTGTGATAATCAAAAAATAAAATAAAAAAAAATAATCAGGATCTTGATTTGCATGTGCAGTAAACAGCACACTATCCCACAATGACAGACAAAAATCTAGGAGCTCACTTTATTACATAGCTGAGAATATACGAGGACACAGACTTATACACTGCAAAGGTCTTTTAAAAAAATAAAACAAGCTTTAACCTAATGTTGTAGAATTTCATTTCAAAGTAATTTGCAAACAAATGTTGCTTGCTTTCTAAGGCACAACGGTATAAACATAAAAACTACAGATGCAATATATTTAATACAAAAATATAAATACTGTTAATCTAAGTGACAAAACAGCACATTTCCTCCCACTTATAAACCTTAATTTAAAAAAGGTTAGCTTTATTCTCAGTCATGAAATGTAGTACAGTGACAATAAAAACTATTCCTTTAGTGACACCTACTCAGAGTATGTCCCTGTTATACCAGCACAGTAAGTATGAGTACTCAAACCATTACAAACATTTTGCTGCATTATGCAAGAGAAGTTTGGCTGTTTTCTTTCCTGATAAAACTGATCCTCACAGACCTGACTCTGCAAAGTCTGAATATTATCAAGTTTGAAACACTCCTCGAAAGACTGAGTCCTTGCTGAATTACATTCATAACTTTGATGTTAGACTGTTACTTTGTTAAATAAATTATCTCAATTATAAATAGTGTCAAATTCCTGAAAAACATTCCTCCTTTAAACCTTGTATCTGAAAGATTTCCAATGCAAAGTGAATTAAAACATTGTTTTATTGCTAGCAAATACAAAGAACTGTTCAAACAGCAAAGAACACAGAATTGTGTCAATCTGACTTTTAAATGAGCTAATAGAGAACTTACAAAGAAAAAAACCAATGTATTTCTTGCTCAGCCTTTCTTAAGCAAACAAAACCATAAAGTAATCCAGATCACACGGATTTCATGTACAGTTCACTAAAACGAATTTCAGCATTGATTCATAAAGCTGATTCTTTGGCTGACTGAATGTGATGTAGCAGCTGATTACAATAGACCGGCGTCTGATGCTTATGTACGACCCCTTCAATTTCTCTGACGAGCAGTTCTGGATATAAATCACTTCCTTCTTTTAAAACTTCTGTAAAACAAAGACATGTTTTATAAATCATTAGCCCCTCTGCATCTCTCTATTCAAGTTCCCTCAAAGTAGCCGAAACCTAACCTGGAAGTTGTTCTTCTACAAGCTGTGCAGCCACACCAACCTGATTCCTCCCTCGTTTGCCGAGGTCCATGTTGTGATATTTATGTGCTTGAACACAGACCGATACACTAATAAATTCCAAAGAATCCACCGAGCAAGGTGGGATACGGTCACAGCCTGTGACCATAGTGTCTATGGTTAGTGCCTATGCTCCATACCCTGTTTACTAACTATAAAGTCTTCTGATAGATCAGATGCGCTGATATTCCTTCCCCCTCTAGGTGCATGCTAGATAAAACATTACATTCGGCGTACAGGTAAAAGGTCTGAGCTCATACTCGCTGAAATCCAAAGGAAAGCTTCCAGCCTGTTAGGACCGGCCTGTAGTTGTATGAGCTACTTGCATGTGACCCTTGAAAACATGATTGAAAAAGCTCTGTTAAAAATCGATATGACTGAAAGTCTTACCTAGGACTGCAGTTTGGATATTTTGATCTGGGTCATCGAGATGTATCAACAGTTCTTGGTACAGAAATTCAATATGACCTTCCATTGCAGATTTCACATCACTGTCCTTTAAGCATTTAAACCAATTAGTTAAGGTGTGAGCAGCTGCCAGTCGTACATCACATGAAGCATCATCCAGACGCTTTAAAACTTCTGAAAAGGAGCATATACGTAACCAAACAGCACTGTAACCAGCAAAGTTATCTTTTGCATTTGAAAAAAACAATGTATTTTTCATCACTGAAATTATTGTTGCATGTATGACATATTTCTGTGTTTTGAATGCTGCAAATACATGTAGTACACTGTTCCTAAAAGCATGCAGTGCATTATTATTATTGGATTGTTATGTTGTCAAAAACATTAAAAGAAATGTAAAAAATTACTTAGATTAGTTGAACGTTCTCTAGTGCTCTAACAAGGTACTATGAATGTCTATGAATGCATTACAGAAGCACAGAGTTTAAGTATTTTTATGCTCTATAAAGCAAAGTATTTCTATTAAATATTACTGTTTCCGTGAATGGCTGCATCACAGAGTATTTGAAGATGCAAAGATATACTTTGACAATTGTCATGTATTGATCATGTATTTCTCCAAAATAAAAATGTTTGTTAGTTTTCTACTGTGCCGTGAAAGAAAAAGTATCAGTCATTAAGATGCTGAGTTTGGGAAAGTCCAATTTATTTGTGCATATCTCTGAGAACATAAATCCTGTTACATAGCATAGACTGACTTCTCCTAAGTCATTGTTTCACATTTAAACATCATCATTTAAACATCATCCTAAGAAGCATTACAGATAATAGCTCTATTTGAGATTACAGCACTCTAAATTAGGGTTTTCTTCTTCCTCTTTAAAATAAAAAAAAACCCCAAAACAACCCGCTACCTATTCAGGTCTATTTATGGTACGATGAAATGGTTTGCTCTTGGCGCTCTGAAACACAGCAAGGAGAACAATGTGACTGCCATTTATATAATGCATCACTGTTCTGCTTCCACTATAGTTAGAACATTATTTCATATAGTCTAAACTAGGAAGCAACGCAGAGGAAATACTGGCAAGCCTTGCGAAGACTAATATCGAGTGAAGTTCCATCTAGCGGCGTAACGCGCGCTAACCCTGGGAATACTGCTCGGTTCTGCTCAACTGGGAGCGAGGGCATTCCCAAAGAACATGAACTGGTCCCCAGTGCACCACCTCAACGGAATGAAACAGCGCAGTTACAACAGCGGTTACTACAGAAAGGCCTTGCAGGAAGCAAGTGCTGTTGGAGTCACGCTTAACAACACCTACTCAAGTATTTAACACCTTCATTTTCTAGAATGTGTATGTGTACTTTATACACTTTATACTCAGCAGTTTAAGACCATGTCTTAGTCTCTGCAGGATTAGGACATTAAATTGCCTCTCATACACAAAAATGCTGCTAATGGTACGATTTTGTGCAGCATTTGACTCTTTCAATTTCCTTAACATCTGCAAAATTACTCTGGGAGAGAACTACCCAAATAGTTAAAATATCAAGTAAGAGAACACAGAAAAAGCATTAGAATATGTGTATGGGAGTGAATTAAGAATGGCTGAGAAAACGAGTCTACATAAAATCTGCCCGTTTGCACCTCAAACTGTTTAAAGGCATTTTCCTCTTCACGTGGGATTGAAGCCAGATGCCTCAGTGATACACAGCAGTTTTTGTTATTCCCTTTTCTGCGTTAGTGCTTTCAGTGCTACCAGCTGCAGAGAACCCGCAGGTGAGGTGGACAACCTGCACAGTGAACCCCAAAGGTAAACAGTGAATCTGCCTACTGCTCCAGCACAATGATTTCCAACCTTAAAAGCTAAGCTAACTATGATACTTCAGGTGAAAAAGCAACTGTAATTCTTCAACATGGAGATCTTGGATTAAAAAAAAAATTAAAAAAATAAACTTTTTCACTTACCTGTGTAAGTTTTGATAAATTTATCTTCACCAAACTGCCTCCCACAGACTTTTAAAAAAACACCAACAACACGACAAGCCATCAGCCGAGCAATTTTAGAGTCTTCATCCATGGCAGCAATAATTTGGGACATTAGCTCATCTTTGACTTTTAAGATCTACAGTTAACAGGAAAAGCATAGAAGCACAACAGCTTTTCAGTCACTCTAAAACAATATGCTTATTGGTTACATCAGTTACCATTAGGACTGACCGATACTGGCTTGCTTAATTTAAAAAGTTAACTATAAAAGTTAACCATAAAAGTTAACCTGAAAATCTTGCAAGTTACACAGCTCTATTTTTGCCTCTAAGCAAGCTTGGCAAATGAAAATCCACCAGTCGATCACCCAGTTCCTGAATGCTCAGTATATATGCAGATGAGTTTTATATAACTTGTAAAAGCTTTACACTTACTTGCCTTTTTATTTAAAAAACCAAATTGTTGGCAAGACTTTAAATAATTTGGTGATGAGGATTATGTGTATGTACCAGTAGATGGTGCTCTTATTCTAAAAGGAAACTTTTAAGTAAAGACTGTTGTAATGCAATGTTTTACTGAGTTTCATAATTTGACTTTAGTACGTACATTTTGTATACATTAATGCAAAAAAGGCATTAAGGCACTGATGCAGAAAAATGTTTAACTAGAACGGTAGTTGATATAAATGTTTTCGTATATGTGAACTCAACCAGTTATATGTGTTTAAGCACTTTGTTCAATTACAGTCTGTAATAAAAAAAATGAAGATATGAACATTAAATAACATTTTAATGCCATTTATTTTTTTTAAAAATGCCCTTACATTTAGCATATTTCCAGTGAATCATTTCCAAATGCTATTTTTATTAGCAAAGAAGCTTCAAAAAACCCCTCAGATTCAATTAATCCTTAATCACTATGGTAGGTAACATTTAAGCATTAGCCCTCTACTTCAGTTTCTACAGATACTCTTCAAGTTCTATCTCAAGTCCTCCTGCCCTCCCTCCCCAGGAATCTTTCAGATTTTTTTTTTACCCCCCCCAAATCGATCTGTGGGCTCCAAGACAACTAGCCAACTTGTCTTTCCCGTGTCATCTGAATGCACGTCCTGGCTTGCTCCGGTGCTGCCGCACAGGCGCTGACTACGGCTCCGGTAACATCAGGTGCCCGAGCTGTTGTGCTAGCAGTGGCTAGGTAGTGTTTTGTGGTACAGAACTGATGCTGTGTAGAACAAAGATCTACAAAGTTTGATGATGGTGAGTTCTACAGCTCATTGTATTGCTGGCCCCAGGTCTTTTATCAGGGTATCACTGTCCCTGCACTACTGATCCTTTCAACTATTAATACTCGATTAAAATTAATGCATCTTATTATGACAACTCTATGTCCATCTGAAAATACTACTTACAATAAGGATTTATTCTTTCTTTCCCTTTGCTTTTATTTTGTCCTCCTGCCTAATATTTCAAAGTACATTTGACGAGAAAGAGAGAATTTACCTCTTTTGGTGAAAGCATTTCACAGTGAATAAGAGCCCAAAGGCACGATACAGCCGTAGTGCGGATGGCAGCTGCTGTTCTTCCAGCATGCCACTGCAGATTAGGAGCCAGTATGTCTTTTATCACAGTCTCAAGGTAGCTAGGGAACAGCCTGAAGCCAAAAATAAGAAAGCAAAATAAAGGTTCATGAGAAAGTGATAAAGGGACTGACAGGATGTAAAAGAGAATTTTCTGTCATAGAAGCATAGGCAGGAAAAAAAAGACTCTGTAAAAAAAAAAAAAAATCTTATAGCCAAGGTGATTACAGTGTATGTGATAAGCTTTTCAGAACTTAATTTTTCTAGATAATATTTAAACAAATACCTAACATTCACGGAAAGGGGAGGGTAGGCTTTCTCCCACTTCAGACGATGCCCATGACTCACTGTGTTATCTTGGTAAACTACTTACCTTCTCTCTGTCTCATTTTCTCCGTCTGTGAAGTAGAGATAACACCCCGTATGAATGCTGCGAGGATTCATTAATATTTGTAAGGCCCTTTGAGACTGTCCAGTGAAAAGTATTTATAATGTGAAAAGTATGAATGCTATTGATGACACCTGAACTACTGATACTGCAGGGAGTCTGCAGAGCATACTTCAGCTTTCTCTTGGCTCAGAAGCTTGTCTCCCTCAAGGATGAGAGGTCTGTAGGATTTTCTGATGGTGCCAGTCCCAATACTAGTTTGTTTTCATTACAAGCACACAAATCTGTGATATTTTTGCTGACATTTCTTCCTCCTCCTCCTCTACTGAATGGGCTGTTACGATACTAAAAGTTGTTGTGAGAGTCAGCAATTGCAATAGCCTGCATTCCCTCACACTCATTTAATTCCAGCTCAATCAATTTTAAATGAAGATAAAAAGATACAGATCTTACGCACAAGTTAAAAAAAAAAAAAAAGAGACTTTTCAGCATCAAAAGGGCATGTGTGCCTGGCCTGTGACTACACAGCTAAGGCTCAGGGTATTCACTGTGCCTTAAAAAAGCAGCTGGCAGGGTGCAAAACAGATTGACAACTAACAGGCTAAATCTACCTTGAGTCGTGTCCCACTATTCAAGCTTCTTGCAGACCGGATTGCAGCCACCTGAGTGTGAAACAGCACAACCCCAGCCTGCTGCTTGGCAGAAAAGGAAGAAGTTGTCGCTGACTTTTAGAAAAAAGTCCTACATTAAGCATTAAGTGGCTTCTACAGAGATGTGCCAGGGCACAAGCGGAACATAATGGGTAGAAGTTAACAACAGACAATTATCACTAAGTACTTAACAAAAAATCCCCACAACAGCAAAACAAAGTAATTCAGCAGTAAAAACTTCCTAATAATATTGTATCAATTTAATAGGAAATGTAATAGTATCTAGTTCCTTCCTGTAACTACCTCTTACTCACTGCAGTTAGACCTTGTCATCCAGGTGTAATCTGACGGAAGTACAACCCGCCAGCCTGCCAGGCCTGAACCACCTACTGCACAGGCACAAACCTGAAAATCTCTGGGTGTCTTCAGCAAGCCAGAGATCCGTCCTCGCTTCTTGCCCAGCAGGTGGCACTTAAGATTCAGTAATAACAAGAGATCTGTCATCCTGTTAGACGCATCTAAAATTGTCAAAACCCTTTAGGTTTATTATTTTAAACACATTTTTGAGAATTAATAAGTTTCTATTCAACAAGTTGCCAGAAAAAAATACAACTAATGCTCACCATCATTCCAAATTTCCTTTTAGCTCCAAAGCTAAAAACCCCCAACTTTGCGCTATCTGTACTATCTGTTCAGTAGCTGCTTGTTTTTAATAAATCCCTCTGTTAAACTCCAAAGAAAAAAAACAATTTTTTGTAAAAACACAAAGGTACATTCCAGCTACGCTATTTGTGAGAATATTTGTGCTAGTGCCTTGAAATAGAATCAGTAAAGCAGTATCTGGCAATTATCTAACTCAATCATGTCGGACTCAAAATTAGATGACCACACAACTGTGTTTAGTATAACAACTCAAAACCTTCCCATCTAAACTGTTAGAATGTTTTTAAGGAGCTAAACAAATTACTGCCAGTAGCAAATGCAATTGTATAACCAGAACTTATTACTACTTCACTACACTATCTCTCATTACCATTAAGATGTATTTTTTGCTGTTACTGATGCAATTAAATTCTCCCTCTTTCCATTGTCAAATCTGACTGTTGTAGATCTAGGGAACTTAATTCTAAAAGTGTGCCATTTCCATGAAAGACCATACCCCATGCTATTTGTATTTACAGAGTTGAGACTTTATTCTCAACTGGATCTGAAACAACTAAAACATGATCTGTGCATACAGTAATACCTAGCTCTTATGCAGATATAAAAAAGCAGACCTTGGGTTTACATTAAATTTGCTACCCCCATCTTATGGACTTACATACTTAAACTTTCATTTCATGTTGTTTATTTCTTATAAATTTTCTTTCTGGATTGGTTCCTTCTCTGCTTTTATGGGACTGCTGCATTTGGCTTTATATTTAAACACATTTATTGTGGATTGTTGTGTTTGGGGTTTTCCCTGTGTGTGTGTTTTTGTTTTTTCCAAACTTAACACCCTAAATCCAGGTAATTCAAAACAAAATCAGATTTTCTTTTAAAAATCAAAACCTCCAAGAATGTTTTGCAAACAACTCTTCAAACACAAAAACTTCACATGTTACTTCTCACATTAAAGCATTTGCTGTGACAAGGGTAAGTAGGATCAAGACTGCAAAGAGTCATTTAGCTCCCTCTACTGCTTTTTAGTTTCTGAAGATAAACCTACCGGTAAAATTCATTGCATTGCTCTTGTTCTCAGAGGACCAAAAGCCTCATCGTGAGTTAGACTGGGCCACCCTTAACCAGGGGTGTTCTCTGTAAAACAGGTCTATTAACCTCACTGGATGCAGCTAATCATGACAAAAGGCCATTCCCTCACACTGCCCTGAGCTATCGTTGCTGGCTGGGGAGAGCTGGTGTGATGTGTGGCTATATTCGCTGAGAGTATTACTTTGAAACACATTCTTCTATTTTTTCCACACTGGTGATGGTGATTTCCCTTTCCTGGAATCCTAGTGAAGCTGACAGCTCATAGGGTTGGTTTTCTTCTTCCCCTCTTTGGCTCCATTATTTATACAAACGACTGGGTTGCAGATGAAAGATTTTGTTATTCATCCTATTTACTTTGACTACTGCCAAAAGAAAAGCTTACTCTTTGATGATGTTCTCATATGGTCCTGCATTGACCATCTCTACCAGCAGTACCTACATGATCAAATTTAATATACTTATCTGAGCACTTCAGGGACTTTCAGATAGAGAAGTGCCACCAATCCTACTGTGCAGGTGAGAAACAGAGAAAGAAGCCGCCTGTGTATTCATGGAGAAGTCCTTCCTACCTCCTAGCCACCATCCTCAGGAACACCATGGGTCAGGACTCTATAGCACGCCATGCAATGTACCTGCATACTGCTTAGATGTAACCTAAATGATTTTCTGTAGATCACAATGAGAGGCAGAACAGAGAATTTAACTCAGTTCTTCAAATTCTATTCTGCTGTAATCTGTAATGCTGTTTCTGAGAAGGAAGAGCAGGAGACCAGATAATCAAAAATGTACAGAGAAGAAATACCACTGAGACTAACTTGTTGAGCAGGTCTGAATTTGATTAAATACCTTGAAAGAATGAACACATTTAATGTTTTAAAAACAAATGTGGAAAATAATAAATGTGACTGTATGGTAGATGAACAGGAGCTAATAATGTATTCTGCAGTAAATAAAGAACAGTAAAACTAGGCCATAAAAGAAAATAGATAGGATCCTATTTTTAGACAGAGATATGTTTTTACACACTTCATAAGCATTGTTGTGTTCAGGTCATCACAGAACACATGAGATGACATTTCTTGGCTCCCTGATCTTCGCATTCTCAGTTAGATGATACAGATCTAACAGATTAGCTTACAACAAGTAGTCAGATCCTGGAACACTTAAAATAGTTTTCAAACTGCTTTTCTTTCTTTCAGGAAGATTCTTGCATATCTAGATTGATCTTGTAACTACTACTCAGTTACATGAGTATTTAAACAAGTAATCCACCGACTTACTTGTTTAAATTTGAAATTTAAATATGAAAGAGATTTTTCATATGAATAGGAATTTTAACATCGAATCCTAAAATATGAAACAGGTAACACCACACTTGGCATAAAAGCTTTCAGTTAAAAAAGGACAGCTCATTATATTCCATCCTAAGCACTAGCTCCACATCTCTTAGGGGATGCATTAGCAGAGATTCTGCTGCTCACCTGAAATCCCCCACTGAATGGGAACACCAGGGTTCCTCCTCCTCCTCCCCCCCATTATAGGATACAGGCCATGAATACACTAAATATATCTAAACCCGGTAAAAATCCATCTACATTCATACTAACATGGCCTCGTGGAACCTGAATGAACGTCCAGCATACCAGAATGTCCACTGAGTGCCAATTTACTCATCAGAATCACGAAAAAGTTTTTAAGCATAAATGACCATTGCTATCAAAGTACTTTTAGGAAGAATGCCTCCTGTGGTTGGTTTTCTTAAAGAGTTAAAAATGAAAAGAGTATGCATCAGAATACATTTACATACTAAATGCAGCAGACACTGGGAAAAGCAGAGCAGAGATGGTTTACGTATTCAGGATAACTTTGCAGAAGTGTTTGCACTATTAGTAAGGCTAAATTAATAATGACAAAAGAGCCGCACTGTTGGCATTGTTATAAACGGAGGGGTTTTATAAGCACTGTAAGTTACAGTTAGATTGTATTTGCAACGCATAAATAATGCCAAGCAACAGGAGACTTTCATCTTCAGTCACCGAGAGTAATAATAACTCCTTATCAAACATCTAGTTTAATGCTTTTTAAACACCATGCTATATCACAGGCATTTTTAAATGCCCACTTTTTGAGGTGTTTTATTGTTTCGTTACAATGACTACAGGCAAAGCTTAAGGATTTAGGAGTTAGCTGGGAGAAAAAAAAGAAAAAAACAAAAACCAACTACCCCCCCGTATTACTTTCCTAAGAATCCCCATTTTAGCTTGCAAACATGTACTCTTTTCAACTATAGCTCTTTATTTTTTGAAAACTATTCAGATCTGATATCATGACATCCATTGTAATTCTCCATAGTGGCAGAGGTAGGAAGACTACAGTGGAGGAAGTCCAGACTTCAATTTATGTCTTTTTTTTTTTTTTTTTTTCAATTATTGCACTCTGCCCTTCCAAGCATTGTTAAAAAATACAGCAAGAAAAATATGCTGTAGAAGACGGTGGGAAAGTCTTCTTCCAGACATGCTAAGATGGACACAATTGTAGGGGTTAAATAGCTACCATGGTCATTATTTTTTAATGCCACTGTAGTATTCAAATAGCTGTGTGAAATTAGAACTCTACTTACCCCTGAGAATTGATGGTTTCACTTGCTTTCTGGAGCAACTGTGATAAAACAGTGAAAAGTTTTAACCGCATCTGGGGATCTTTGTTTGGCTGAAGACATGTCTTAAGAATGAGAATAAAGTTATTTAGAGCTTCACCTATGACAGGACCTAGAAAACAAACACGTAAGACTTAATTCAGAGTACTAATAAGTTCTATTTAGATGTTCAATATGTGAGTGCATTAAAATTTGTAATATGTCTGGTATTAAAGTAGCGCTTAACGTTCCACTCTTGCATGGCAGCTGTTGATGTATCTGCGTTACATCCTATTAGGCGGTGTACAAATATCCAAGCTAACTCTCTGCGGGCTGAGGTACCCACAGCGTTAGCCATGGCAGCATGGCACTCCCTCAAGACTGGTTCACCCCACATCACATTTACCCGGCTTGTATTGCTGTTCTACATTACATTACGTAGCACGGACGTATCACTGACATCCGCTAGTTGCTGGGACCAGCAGTACACGATGACATTTTGGGTGGACTAATGCATTTAGAGGGGATTAACACTGTTTGCTATGTAGGTCTGAAAGCTGGAGGCTATGCACAAAGTTTTGGGTTTATTGAACTTCATGAAAAATTATACTGAATCTGGTATGACCATGACAGCACTCCAAACAACAGCATTAACTACGCTTTTTGCTTCGTTCAAGTCTTAACATGTGCAGCATTCAAGGAAAAGATGTCTGACTCCCAGAGGCACTGGGAAGGGCACATTTGAAAGGTCAACCTCAAAGCTTGGTTAATGGAATTCTTGCAGCAATATTCTTTCCCCATGTTTACATAATGCTTATTTGCATTTTACAAGAGAATCTAAAATACAATGAATTTTAGAAGCTATTTGAAATAAAATTATTTTCCAAACTCATTCTCTAGTTTGTTAACATTTTCACATCCTAAGATGAATGCCGTTTCACCACTAATCAATAAACAAACAAACCACTAAGCTGTTATCCCAACATTTGAAGAAATTATTTTCCCCAGACAGAAGGAAGTTTGTGCCTTTCTCCTTGATAATGATTAACATCTGCATGGTTTTAAAGAGGACGAGTATATATTTTGACTATACACATGCTTTATTCTGCAAGGTTCTTGCTGCAGAATGCTCTTTCTGCTCTGTGTTTGCAATAAACTACTTTCCTCCAGGAACAACTTCAGTTTTGCATCCTTGTGATCCGCATTCCATTCAACACCAGTCACTCACAAAATCCTCCCAGAAGGAGACACAACACTGGCATTTCTGATGACAAGAATATTCCTCACACATGGAACAGACAGATTGAAGTATTCAATATTCCAAAACAAGTTCAATAGCATTTAATAATATCTGGAAATTTTATGTTTAAAATAATAACACTCCCCCCCAAATGTTCACTGTCTAGACTGAAGCAATACAGGGTGTTGAACTGCAGTTTGCTAAATTCCTGTGCCAACAAATAGGTCTTTATTTTCACAGCATTTATTCAAAATACATTGCTTCATGTGAGTTCTGAGACTTTAAAAAGATACTACTATTATACCAAACTGATAACAGCAAATTCAACAGATGGAAAATAAACCACATTGCTAATTTCAGCTTAAGCATACGTTCCTCAAAATCAGGAAAAACTGAGACATTTGAAATGAGTAAACCTGATTAAATAGATTAAAAACAACATTGTGTGTGGGAATAAAAAGAAAGAAAAGAAAAAAAAAAAAAAAGCTCTAGGAGCTGCTGTCAGACAGAAAACACAGACAATAGCATATTACCAGTGCTGGGTTCAAGCCAAAAATATTTGCCCAGACATCTGATGATTTATTTAGCATTAAGGGAAACAGAGACAACTGTCTACAAGTCCCTCAGTCATGGAAATGAAAGTGCAGATATACAGAAAAGTTGGCCCCTCAGATCTTGCACCAAAACCCCCCTTTTTGTTATTTCCACAAATGAAAAAAACCCTACTTATGCTGGTTGCTGCACAAACCAGTAAGTGGGTAATTCACATCGGTTTGTTGAGACTTTTTTTTTTTTTGAGATTTAAGGATTAAATGCAGAAGATACAGTCCCTTAAAACATACCTGTCCACATTTAACTATCTGCAGTAGCAATAACAATACTTCACCTGTAGCTGAAGTAGCTGTCTACATCCCCTTTTTAACTAACAGAAGGGAAAAAAAACCAACCAAACAGGACTTTCCATTTTAACCATCTTAAAAATGAGTGTCCAGGTGAAACGCACTGCCTGTCACTGCATCCCTTGCCTGTAGATGCAACCTGAAGAGCTGCGTCAGAGGAACGTTCACTGTGCAGATTTGAAGTTAGGAGAAACCTATGCCAAAGTGTTTCACTAATCTAGACACAGCAACGTGTTAAAGAGCATAAGGGAGAAAATGTTGGTACAAAAGGATAGTATCTTTTATGGGCCTAGTGAATAGATGGAAAAAATACAGAAATTTTTTGAGACATAAACTACATGAGTTCGTCTCCCTATAATTCTTTACCTGAAAGTGAACTTCTACCTAAGTGCTTTTAGCATGCTCCTTGCAGCCAAAGAGTGTTTCAGAATTTGAGCTGCTTCAACATTTTCGGTTTTGCTTTCCATCATATTCTTGTGAAGTTTCTGAGTATCACATTATTCATTATAAAATGCAATGTGTCTGCGGGTTATGGAGATTATTACCTTATTTTTTTTTTAGAACTACTAAGTCAGTCATACCTGAATGAGTTGCGATGACATCCAACTGTAGTATTTCTGGAGAATAGCATGTCCAACAATCACATGATACTGAAACCCATTCCATAAGGTGAATTATGTGTTGTTTGTAGAGATAAAGAAAACTATCCAACTGCTGCACTTCAGCTAATGAAGACATAGTTTCCTCTACCTGTTAAAACAGAGACAGGACACTTTATCTTAACTGAAACAATGGTAAAACTCCTCACTTTTAAAACTCATCATTATACTATAAGAACAGAAGGGACACAAGAAGATTTCCACGGTTTCTACTTGGACAATCAAGACTGCTATTTACTGTCTGCCTACACTACATCCATTAATCTTAAATAAAAGGGAAACATCAGTCCTGATTTTTAAATGAAGTCACGACGAACACAGCAATGTAACAGCAAAATAAAAGAATCCCTAATTCACGTGAAAACCTATCCAAAAAACTAACCACATCATAAAAAAAGCTGCTACTAGTATAAAGATGGAGTGATTTTTCTCCTTAATTTAAGAATGCTTTAAAACATTAATGCAGAGGGAGTTTCTCACAATCACATCTAGCAGCTTCCAAAACCTGTTGCTGTTGCAGCTCAGAGAAGACATGGTACTTCCCCTCTCCCCTCTCCTCCCTCCCCCGTCCCCAATTTTAATTATGCAAGATGCTCTCTCTTTACAGTAGCTGGGCAGGTTCATTTTGAAATTCTCAACTTTTGTTGCTTAGAAGTACCAAAATTCACTGTTACATTTGAAATACCTTCTTCATATTTACATTTATACTATTCCATGAGACAGGCAAACAAAACATGTACAAATAAAACATGTAAGAAGAACTATTAAATTAATTCCAGATGTGATGATGCTGGGCAAGGAAGCATATAGAGTTTCTTAATCACTCGTAGCAGATGTATTTCAAAGCAAAGGAAAATTTGCTTTTACAGTTCCTGAAGACTCCTATCAGAGATACAAAACTTCGTTAAGGAAGACATTAAAAGCATGCTGAAAGCAACATCTAATGTCTTAGCAATTTCAGTGGACAGTGAATCAAGAATGGGGAGCAAGACACCGTTAGAAACCCTACTGAGAAATAACATGTCATCAGCGTGGCCAGGTCTAGCAGGGAAAGATGTAGTGCAGTGCTATGAGTGACATAATTTGACTCTAAGTGGTTCAGTAGAACTACAAATTGTAGTCATATTTCTAATATTTTGAAGCTGAACTCAACCACACAAGTTAGCTGAAACATGTTTAGGACCTTCAGAATTTTACAGACTGATCACCTGCCAGACAAAGGTGATATTATGGAAGTACCAGATGGGGACAACATAAATGAGATTTCTAGAAAAGAAAATAAAATCAACTCAGGATTTCCCAAGGACAAAGGTTACTTTTAAAGCAGGTTTCCCTGCCTCAAGCACAATAGATTTCTCCTTTCTGGAAGCATTCTGCCAGCCAGTCAAGACAACTCAGAATAACTTATATGTAAAATATTAATTTATCTGTAAATTAATTGGAACATTTTACATGACAGAAACTGTTCCCCATTATTAATTCCCACCACAATCTGCAATGTTTTTTCCATTGAATGAAAGATACACAAAATAATACATTGTTCACAGGTAATTTGAACTCTTTAAGTAGTTTCAAGAGTGCAATTAAAAAAAAAAAAGAGAGAATAAATTAAATATGCCAATAGACTGATGCATATCTTCCCATTAAGAAGTGTCTCACAGTTAAAAAAAAAAAGCAAGGGTGAGTTTCTTTCCTATATTTGAAAGTTAACAAGTTTAATGATACATTATTTTCATGCTAATAATCAATGTGTGCTGAAAGAACCACCAAGATAGCACAGGCCACTGGTAATGAAACAAAATCTTATCTTTAGGTCACCAGCTAAATCGCTGACAAGCTCAATACATGCTTAACAGACTCTAACAACTGATACGGGTTCAGTCTATTTGGGTATGGTTTACAGCCCCAAGTGCTCAGTTGGTGGTCTTGATCTTTTTCCTTAGCCCTGAGCAACCAGAAACACTGATGAACACAAAGCAAAGGGACCAAAAATCAAGCAAGTAGGAGGAGCAGCAACACTCACAATCAGGTCACATCAACTTGCGGTCTTCGAAATCTCTGTGATCTTCTGTCCCCTTATATTAGAACCTGAATTAAAATTCTACAATGCAAATTTTTAAATAATTCATGCTTATACACAAAATCTTTTGAGCCTGAATACAGACTTCTTTTCCGCACAACAAATTTTTACTCGTAAAGCTAGATGTAATACATTTGTTTTAGACAGTATTAAGCTATTTTAACAGGGACTTCTTGCCTTCTGCAAGTTGTACAGCTCACTCTGAAGTTCTGGAATAGCCAGTAACTAGGGGAAAAAATAAGATCAAGCCATATTTGTCTTTGTGACAAATTGAAATATTGCAATTATGTAATCTCATTGCCAGATTTTCTATCTGCCTAGCTGAAAGAAAGGCTAATGAGAAAAAGGATTCTCATCCAAAGTACTGTCAACTTTAAAAGTCATCTGTAATTGCACAAATAGCTTAAACCTTTAATAATCTTGGAAGATTAACTTTTCTGTATATGAAAATCAGGCTTTATCTCCATGAAACTGCTTTCTTTGTAGGAGTATGAATTTGTAAGGTTTTAAATGGACATTGCTGACTTTATAGATCACTGTAGGGCTAAACAGAAATTACTGCAAAACATACCATCTGTCCAAGGCTTACCTGGACAGACTGCTAGTTTAAAAAAACAAACAAACAAACAAAACCCAAAACCAAACCAACAACAGAACAACCCCCCAAAAAATCCCACTCTCACACTGGCTCTCCTCAAGACAGATCTTCATGCTATACCTCTTTGACCTGCAAAGTCTCTTCAATATTTGTTTCAAGCTTTGCTCTATTTTACTTCTTTTGGAATAGCTTGCTAAGCATGTGCCTTCTTGGAGGCAGCCTGTCAGCTACGGGGCCATAAATCCTGATGCTACACAGGCCTTTGGAATGCCATGCCTAGGAGCAAGGGAAAAGGAAGTAGAATAGCCATCTCATTTAAGGTGCACGTTTGAAAAAAGACAACTTGGATAGGTCACAATTGTAGTACATGAGGATGGCTTGCTGATTTACTTGATATTTAGCTTGGGGAAGAAAGAGGAAGAGAGAAATAAGGAGATGAGAGAACGTTTAGCCAAAAAAGCTCATCTATTATCAGGGCATCTACAGATGTCCTTGATTCATCTACATTCCCGCTACATTTAAACTTTTGATTCTGGTGGGGAGGTAAAAAGATTAACTACTGTAAAATCAGTCTGATCTTTGTCTAAAGGAAAAAAGAAGACTGTGAAACTATCACTTTTTAAAGGCTAGTAGTGCTCTTGATCTATAGGTGAATTGTTCTTTAAAAAGACAGAAAATAACTTGGAGGTTTTTCCTGACCACTTGTCTGCTCCTATGCATAACCTAACATTAACAATTAAGAGTGACTTATATCCACCTAAAAACTAAGCATCAACAATTTAACCAGCACTCACAGCGTGCCCAAGGCTTTGCAGAATCCAGCGACAAGCAGAAACTCTTGCACACCTCCTGTACCAGGACTTTACCTAAACCACAGCCCAGTGATTACTATCCACCCACGTAAAGCCATTACTCCCCACTGGTAAAGCCCACAGCCAGTGAACAAGCCTTACAAGACGTAGCAACAAGGCCAACTCCTAAAGCTTCTTACCTGAGTAATATCCTTTCCCGTTATGTCAGACAAACTCAGATATTAACCAGGTTTCTGCAGATCACGTTTATGTAGGAGACAATATTGTCTTAGAAACATCAGTGTATGTTCTAGTCTTACAGTGTTTGCAAGATCCAACGGTAGATTTAGCTCTTCTGGCACCACCATTGCCCTAGACTTCAACTAACTAACCTCAACTTTAGTCCCACCCTAACCCTAGTACTACCCTGTCTTCCAGTTCCATAAAAGAAATAACCTACAAGACCCTCTGCTGCTGCTAGTCCTTAACTACAGCCCTGTGGATTTGCAGGATTCAACATTAAACTGAGATCTTCAAACTGTTGTCTGGAAATAGATGTAGCACCTAACAACTATGAACTGTGATCTGTCAAAGCAAAAATATCAATATTTTGACTGACAGATGACAACATTCACAGATCTTTCAGCCTCCACAGTGACTTCTAAATACCAGCTAACCATCAGAACAGTGCCATAGGGATAGATCTTTGCAGAACAGTTTTATGACTAAACACAGAATCCAAGTATTCCCTCATGCTTCTTTCATTCTAACAGATTGAATCTGATTAATTTGAAGTTACATGTATATCTAAATGTTTAACTATTATATTTCTATATAATTTTTAAAACAGATTGCTATATACACACATGTACAGATGAAAAATAAGCAATCCCCAAACAAAACTGTTAGTATTGTACAAGTTCTTAGCTCTTACAAATAAGATTTTAATGATTTATTCTTCTGGAGAAGTTGCCTTTATGTGTTTCAAATAGACTAAACCCAAAGTAGGTTCAGCTATGGAAAAAGAGGAGGAGACAGACAGAGGCTACAGTCAAGGTCATGCAAGACCAACTTATTTCCAACTCTACCACTCTTTGTGGATGAGCTCTTAGTTAAGGATTTCTATGGTTTAAACCTCACAGAAAGACAAATAATTATGGCTCTATTTAGACAAAGTGTTTTATCAATAGTAAAAATCAGAAACACCACAAAATATTAAACCAGCCCCTAGTTTACCTTTTCTTTAAGGTGCTGAGAACATGGTAGTGCCATTATTGTCACCAAAACTTTCATCAGCTGCAAGCTGATTTCTTTGCAGTCTTCCTGGCATACTTCAATCAATGCTTGTACACAGCAAAGCAACTGCTCCATATAAAAGACCTATTTTTTAAATAAAAGCACACATTATGTTTTGTTAGAAAATATAACATTCTTTTAAGGGAGACATATGGGAAATGACAATAATAAAGTCTGAGCACTGTATAATCCCCTAAATTGGTAACATAGTGATAATTTCATGTTAGTTCTTTCAACTACCTACATTCTACTTTTGATGGAATACAATATAACCTCCTTCCCACACTGTTTGTTTGTATTTACCTTGCCCGGTTAACAAAATAAATGAGCCTTCTCTTAATCACACAATGGCTCCACTGTGAATAAAAACATCAAAGCATTTTGGAATTATTACCAATAGTACTTTTTCATTCTGCAGTGCAATTGGTTAATTAATAACATATTTGTTACAACTCTAAAATATTATTCCATGTTTGACTATTTTGAATGGAACAATAATGGTTAAATACATAAACTAAGAAAACCCGAGCATCTGCTTTTATCTGAGCCAATTTATGTCTTTTGATGTGATATAATCATGTTATCTTGATCCAACTGATAACAGTTGAAGTCAATATTGTTGTCAGTTAGCTTGCACTGACTTCTATGGTAGAGTGTAACAGATATTCCATGAAGCTGTCAGATTACATTCAATGAACAGAAGAGGCCATTGTTACAAATTTACTTCCAAAAATTAAATCAAATCTAGGAATAGGTTAGCTATAAATGTTATTAATCTCATAGACACGGTCAATCCTTCACTAAACAGTGTCTATGCAGCATTTGCTGTCTAAATTAAAGATTGTTTTCCAAGACCAAAGACTAGAATAATTCCACCAAACGCTTCAGCTGCAGATGAATGTATCTACTGTATCTAATGCCAAATGGAAGTGGTAAGCTTAAGACCTCCTAGCAATTTTGCAGATATGCTTCAGGGAATTGTTATTTGAACAATCAGGTGATAGTGCTCCCAGTTATACAAGTTCCTAATCATCACAGGCTTCATGGAGATTAAGGTTAATTCCTGCATCACTGGCACATATTCCATTAGGGAAGAAACCTAATGAGGGAAGAACTTCAAACGTATATCTTACATTGGCTCAAAAAGACAATTACGCTAGGTTCAGGCTACACACATGAATAACTGTTTTAAAGGGAAGTCTGCATCTGACGTGAAGTCAGTTTTCTGAAGGCACACCACTGGCCCTTTTTTGGTCATCTTAAGAACAGAGACCTAATGAACTTTTGGTGGAATGAAAGCTGGGATCTCATTCGTGGGGGAAATTGTTGGGATTCTTCTTGTGCATCTCTAAACAGATCCATGTCCAGATCTGAGCAATTGAAAAGAAAAAAAAAAATTCTGGAAGTTAAAAATCTCCATTCCACATTGAAGATAATCTCTCACCTCCTTATATAGCAATTGATGAATATTCTTCAAATGCTAAAATGAAAATGGTCTTCAGACTCAGCCATTAGTTAAGGGTACACTTGGGAGTAAATTTCTAATTTATAAAGGTCTTCCTCCTAGATTCTCACTTAAAGAGAAGCACCCAGGCACAACAGTTTACAAAGCATGCTTAGATGTACGTGTAAGAGTACTGGTACCTTCCTTTTCAAAGAGAAAACTATAACAATACAAAACAAAAATAAGAAGATGATATTAAGAGGGGAATCTTTCTTGGGAAACCTGACATGCCAATTACAGTAGACTGTGAAAAGTTTTCAGTCATTTTTACTGATGAGGATTGAAACATATGATCTTGTTTGGATTGTGAACACACAACATTTCAAAACATGGGTTAAATTCTGCCTCTGGGTCAGCCACGGTAGTACTCTATTAGTACAGTACATACTAAACAGCTTCTTCTCTCCCCGTCATGCCTTTTCATTTTCCTCCCACCACTTGAAGCCCTTTACAGCAGTTCTCCAACATGAACCCACATTTGCTGAGAGGATGGACTGCTACCAAGTTTTTGGGATCAGCAGGTTTGACCAGGAGACCACAACACGGCCCAGGGAGGATAGGGAAGCTCCTGTTCTGTCTCAGACACATCCACAACTATGTCCTGAGATAGGGTGGGGTAGGTGTGCAAGGGAGGGATAGGAATGGGAACATTTAGGGAGAACAAGGGAAAACATAAGTTGGAGAACCACTGGTCTACCACTGTAGTCTGTTGTGTATTTTCCAGCTATCCTTACCTCTTCAGATCGTTGACAAACTCCTGCTTGTGACAGTGTGTTGCCAAGATCGGTCAAATGAGGCTGTAAGATCTCTTTCGTGCTACCTCGAATCACTGCAGTTAGAACCATTATACAGGATGGCTTGGGTGTCTTCACAAAGGCTGATGTGATTAATCGCAACGACACCTTAGGACTGACAAAGGTTCCAATCAATTCTGCTGCTTTCACACACTGAAAAAAGAACAGGAATAACTTGAGGATTTTCCTGAAAACACAAAAAACATTCAACATATCATGGGCTTTTGCTTTTTTATGATTCCAGCTGTTCTTTTAAATGCTTCAGCAGTTGCCTTGTAGGCCTTTTCCACTCGCTCAGTAATGAATATATGCATGAAGAAATTTTCTTGACATGTGTTCAGTAAGCACATAATAAGGCATGCAAGCACTCTTCTCAGCATCAGACAAACTTCCATGAGAGAGTAATGCACAGAAATGAAGTGTACAGCTTTCAGTGTAATAAAGTCTCTAGCTTAGAATAACCAGATGTTACAGATTTAGTGGTTAGCATTTTGTCCTCCAAATACCGTTCTGAGGAATGCTCTCAAGGCAATCACCACCCGCCTATTAAAAGCGACAACAATAAAACCCTGGAAGAGGAATTTTTTTGTTATTGTACTATATTTTGACAGTGGTATTACAGATCTGGTTTAGTGTGGAAGCACTGCCATGGGGGAACTGTCCACTGCTTTCAATCTCTTCTTTAACTGAAAAGGCTTAAATTACTACGTATTCCCCATGATACTTGTGCCCTTGGATCCCATCTCTGCCTTGCAGACATACTGATAAGTTGTATTCCACATGAAATACCATCACACAGCACTTACTTCCTGACTGATGGCCAATATTTACAATCAGATGCGTGAATAAATATATAGCCAACTACTGTGCCACTACCTGTGCGACAGAAACAATTCTTCCTAACCCCTTTATTTAATGGTTGGCTTATTTCCCCAAACATAAAAGCTTGTTTCCCTTTGTACATAATTTTTAGTCTAGTGATTTAACCATGGATTTTAAATGAACCTAATTAATACTTGAATTATCCTAGTTTTTTTAGTCTCAATGGAAGCATGTAGGCATGAATTCTATAGTTTAAATCTGGACTATATATAGCTGTTTCTTTTCACAAGGGTGAAGACTTAAAACAGTTATAACATACTCTATGTAGGTGCAAACTCTGTCCTCTTCCATATATGCCATAGAGAAAGAAAAAGACTTAGGGCTCTGAAAACTGGAAAAGGACAACACAATGAAACAGTTCAAAAATACTAATTGATATATTTGTATGGATCCATTTATCTACTCATTTTAACAGGGGAAAAAGAAAAAGAAAAGAAAAAAGAAGAAAAAAGGATAAGAGACCACCTGGTCTTTTACTCTTACACATCTCATTTGGTATTAGCCTGGAGAAAGAAATGCACATTGTCCCAGTTGGTGGCTGCTCTGAAATGGGTTCTACAGTGACAAACAATAGAGGAGATAATCACAGTACCCTGGGAAGCAGCATCACTAAGGAGATAAAAGGCATTCACAAATAAAAATTGCTGAATCTTAAGTTTTGGCACAAGGAAGAGTAAAATTAAATAGAGAAACCATTTCCTAATTGGGAATAAATGTCTTGAAAGCACCTGCGAGAACATTAGTGGTGGAATTTTGAGAGAGACAGATATGGTCAGAGAAAGGAAAGGGAAAACTACATGCTTCTTGAATACATACTTTAGAATTTATACTTATAGCAACAAGCACTAGATAGCAAATTTGACCAGGACAGCAGGGCTACATGGGTTTATTCTTCTAATTATTTAAGTTTTCTTACATATTTTATACAAGCACTAAGGAACTTGAAAAGCTGCATCCCACAGTGGCGTATTTCTTCAATCCTGGGGCACTGATTTCCTAAGGCCCATATTCCCCTTGTTGAAATAACAAGATGATTTCTGACAGTATTCCAGGTTTATTTCTCTCTACTATTGATCAGTGTGTGACTGGCTTAGTTTACAAGCTGAATCTCACTGTAAGGCAATGTGGTTAACGGTCAGGTGCTGGCTCTGAAAGGAGAGGTGGAAGGGGTGGAATAGGTAGAAGGGGATAACAGAGTAAGAGTTGGGGGAAGAGGTGGAACAATTCAGGAAAAATGAAGGGAGAGAAACAATAATTAGTATTGAGAAAGACTAAAGAGAATAAGAAATTGCAGGGGAAAAACTACAAAGAAAAAGGATCATTTCAGAAATGGATTTCATGGTCTATATAGCTCAAGTGATAGCAGGAACTTAAAGAAAAGCCTGATTTAGGAAATCAACTTTTCTGACATTAGTTGGACTACTTGTGTCCAATAAGTAGTACGCATTCATCCAATGTACCAAAGCAATAAAATTTCTAGCTTTGAAATAAGTTAACATGTTTTTTTGTTATACATACGCTCTCTTGCTTGCATAGAAATATGAACAGAAGATTTTCTCTTAAAATCATAAAAACATTTGTATCACCTGTCTATCCTCTGCTAAATTTAGCTAATGTCTTCAACTACATCTGTTTCATTGATTTATTGTTGATCAAAGTGTTGAGAGCATCAATTTTTAGAAAAAATTACACTAATTATTCTTCACAAAACCCACAAAGCATTAAGTCAAGAATGCATTTACAAGCATTAAGTCAAGAATTCAAAGACAGAATATCGGTGTCACGTGGAATAAACACACCTCAATATTTGGTTGGAATTATGGTTGGATTATGTAGCAGGGAGAGATAAGTGAAACTAACTTGAAAGGGCATGACCTGCACATTTTTTAAAATGGAATTTGTCGCTCCAAGGCTTTTATACTTTAATCCACTGCTACGATTTTTAAAGAGATCATTATCAATGCTTCACGGGGTTGGCATATAAACTAAACAGTCCTTAAATAACTTTACTATTGGTCTTCATACCAGTAATACCAGAATACATTTATTAACATAGTAAGTAAGTCTAATGTTCACACGTTTTTAACATCCATAAAAATCTGAGCCTGATCCTTCAGTCACGGGCAATTTCCAGTGACCCAAGGTAAGGTCAACTCTCAGAAGACAGGCTCAGGACTACAAAGGATAGGGTCTTTATTCAGTGTACAATAGATACTTTAGCAGATTAAACTTACATTCTTAACCACGTCGCTTTCTTCATCTAAGCATGCTTGGTACAGAGTTCTAAGCAGTAGCTCCATGTGTTGCGTTATGTGATCCTCTGCATGTAACAACAACGTATACAGAAGCTGGGAGGCTTTTATTCTTGTGCTTTCAACCCAGTCTGTTATATCATGACAAAGACCTGGGAGAATTTTGGAGAGGTTTCTTGACACAAGTTCCCGACAACCTAGTCCTGGTCGAATCACTAGAAGAAAACAAACAAAACCAAAACAAAACAAGAAAAGAAATATCAAAGAAAAAGCCAATGCACATTAATCTTTAGAAAAGTTCAAAGGCACCAAGGTAAGAGCTACGGGTGTCTGCTTCAGCATGGAACAAAATATTCCAAATGCTGCTGAGGAATTTACCTGTGCAAGCTGCATTTCTTTAATATATGCTGCAGAATTTAAACTCCACACAGCTCTCTGAAAATGTATATGTTTATTACTGGATGATGATTTAGATCACGTGCTTTGAAATGTTTAGAGAAGGGGAAGAGAAAGAGAACTTAAATGAATATGGGACATTACCCGCTTTGGAAAACACAGCTTAATAATTTCATTTTTATAGCAACACAAATCCCATTAAAAAAAATGGAACACATAGAGATAAAACAGAAAAAAGACTTTCACGTGCAAACATTGTGGTATCCCCCAGTGAAATGTAATTTGCAGGGGGAAAGAAAGGTAGAAGTCACAAACAGTTCAGGGGACACGAACTGCAGTAATGTCAATTGTGCCCTCAAAAGGAAAAGGTTAAACATGTATCTAGAAAATTAAAAGTAGAAAGGGTACTCTGACTTATACAAGTGCTGTGTAATAGATCAAGCCAATAAAATTGATACTATTTTAAAAAATCATTATACAACCTCTTTTCAGGAAAAAGGGTCTCACTGGTATGTCTCTTCAATCTCCTGATTTTTATATTAAGTAATACATTTCAAAATGAAGTGAAAGATTCAGAGTTGGGGGAATCCCCCCCCCCCCCCCGATAAAGTTTCGTTTATAAAGATTTTGTGGAAAGTAGGTTTTTGTTGGTTTTTTTTGTTTTTACACAAAACCCCAAAGTATTACATATTCCCTACCTCAATAGATGGTGTAGTTTTCTAGAGAACTAATAAAATTAACTTCCCCAACAAATGCTTACTCTTCTGTCTGACAATCATCAAATTTACATCTTAGCTCATCTATAAATAGCAACTGGACCAACATCACAAGCAACTATCAAACCTCCACTTCTGTACTTGACACACAAAGCTATGACAGTGCTTTCCAAAGAACTGCAGTAAACCTTTCAGTGACTTTTTCTACAGCAGAATTTTTTTCCTTTACGCTGTACATGCTTATACAGACAAAAAATGAAAAGTTGTTCTCTAAGAACCACCAATTTATTACTGCCACTCACAATGTTCACACACTGTTTTGAGAATGAAACATTATTCATTATGATGTGTCAAAAAACACTGAATGTGTGAGTACATTTTTTACTTCTAGTACAGAGTTCTGTAAATGCTTCAAAAGGAAACAACTGAGTTGTCTCACCATATTTTCCTGTGTTGGTCTGTGTAACTACAAACGCTAAAAGGAAAAACGGACTAAAGTAAATAGCCTGAAGAATACAAAAGGTTTATAGAAATACCTATGAAATACCTAGAGTAGGAAAAAAAATAAATTCAAGCATCAGGACATGAATTGCTGTTTCTTTTATCAATGGAGGATAACATTTTGGATTATCAAAACTGACAATGAATAGCAAAAGGTCAAATAAAGAAATCAACCTGAGACAGCAAATACAGACCGGCATCCCATTTGACCCGAGGCAGAATGTTGTTTAAAGAATTCGGACCATTCTTTATCAGTAGTTCCCTCACTTCAGATGTTCAAATGCAGGCATTTATCCCTGTAGCTACTCCTGTCAAAAGATTTCCCTGCTATAAACTGTCCACACCTGTATCCTAAGGCGATGACTGCTGTTGCTCAATGGAAAGCTATTCAGTTGGTGGGATGACACCAGGTATGAGGTCTAACTCTACTCTTCCTCTGACCTGCAATAGCTGTCATCCTGAGATCAAAGCACAGGGGGGCTCACATGTCAGGTTCATTAGCTTGACGGTTGGACTAAGATAGTTAAGTAAAATATACTACAAACTCACAGTTATAAAAAGATATTCCAGGATGTTGAATAAGTCAGAAGCAAGAGCAACAAAGTGTTAAAATGAATCATCATATTATAAAAAAATACAAATTCACGTGGAGGGGAAACATGGGTGAAGGACAGACGTAATAACAACTCATACATACACGGTCTGTGGTAAGACACCACAAATTATTACTTGAAACTAAGGTACACTAGTGTCTTTGTCCAAGTTTTATATCTGTATGATTAAGTAGACCACCACCTTTTCCTCTCATTTTTCTTCTCCTTTGTCACATAAATCCTGACTGTTAATAGGACATGCAATTTGGAAGTAAAGATAAGCAGCAGGAAATTATATCTTAAAGTCACCATTAACTTGAAACTCAAGTGTGTACATGTGTTGCATTCAAGCCCTAACTGCGTATTTCTACCAAGCAAGATGCATCAAAAGTCAATTAAATGCAGGGCTGGAGTGTTGCCCAAATTTGTGCATCATATTTATTATGCTAAGAATATTATTTCAAAAAGTTCATATCATTTAATCTGTGAAGTAATAGATAGATGTCCCCTTCTAAAAAAAAGGGACCCTGAGGTAATATTATACATAAAATAAGGGGGGAAAAAAATTGGAAAGGATAACAGATCAACTTGACTGTCTTCAAAGCTAAACAGTTCTGTCAAACTAGTCACCATTATGAAGTGCTTCCCCTTTCATTCAAGCATTACGGAGCAGAGCAACTTGAAAAGAAAAAAACCTTCTAATTTCAAAGGAGAAAGGACTCCGGAACCCATCGTCATGGAAAGGATTTTGCTGCTGGGTATTCTCTGATGTGACTGTCAGGTAGGCACAAGTCAAGCATGAACCTGTTCTTTCACACCAGAGGAGTTTTTGTTCTATTAAATATGAGTATAGAAATCAATAAATGACCCATTTAAACCCTCTCTCTCCCCAACACTCATATGCACATTTTTAAACACTAACTTTATGAACCCGAGACAGGAAACAAGCTTCAAGCTACTGCAAACATATCATTTTAAAGCTACTTATAAATCATGTGGTACTAAAAAGTAATCTACCCGTGCTGCATATCTTGGGGTTTTGTATATAATAAAGGAAATTATTGTTTCTGCTCCCATGTTCTTCATATATGCTGGCAGATTTTAGTTGGCATCCCACTGTCTCAAAGAAGCCTGAAATCCTTTCACTGCAAATTTTTCTTCCACGCCAATTCTGTGGATCATTAATGATCTGTCTAGTTCTCATTATTCAAGGACTCGGCTCACAGGTTCTTTCATCCTGCCTGCCTTCCCATCATCTCTGCGCCCATTCTCCACCTGGCTGCTGGCTGATGTAGAACTTTCTGCTGGTTCTGCATCACTGCATTTTCATTTACTCTTTCTCCAAAATGCATTTTGGGATTAATAGAAAAACTGAATGTAGTTACTGAACAAATGTATTTTAAAATTTAAATTGAACATAAATAATTTTATATACACATATGCTATAAATTCTATTTTTTTATATATA